TTTTGCGCGAAATTCAAAAACAAACAAACCTAAAGAAAAATAGTCAACTATTTGAAAGCGCTCTAGTTTTGGGTCTCGTTTTGAAAATACTAAAACTTTTGAAGGTGATATTGTGTGCTAACTACTTAACCTGGATTTAGCTTCCAATATCTCCTAGTTTTAGTACAGAGTTGTAGGTTGCTTTATCGCAGTGTAGAAATAGAGTTTCTTTTCTAGAAACTAAGAATGGAAAAGCCTTTTATCTAGATGTTAGAAGAAAAAACATTCATAGTTCTTACAGGAGCTATGTAGTTAATTCACCCAGAAAAGTCGCACGAGGAGATGGGAGCGGAGGGGGGGGGATCTCACACAGAAGTGTAGGAGTGTTCTTCCCACGCGGAATAGTTATTCCCCCCTTTTCTTTGTTTTTCTGACACGGTAAGAATCTATTCGGGGTTTCTTCCCATAGAAAGCGTTTGGTTATTGATCCATGAGCTAGTGGAGTAAAGTTACAATAGACAAGTTTATTTTCTATCCATGAACTAAGAAATCATAATATAAATGTCTTCATTTTCCAATAAAACAAGGAGGTAAAAAACGTATTCCAAATGTTGTTGCTTCAAGTGTTTTTGAGCAGAATTTATTATTTTCAATAAGAATATAAAGATAATATTCTTTCTTTTTGATATTACATGGCGCAAAATATATTAGCAAATCACGGAAAAAGATATTGAATCGATAAATAATTTTCCTTCTTAAATATATCAGAAATCTTATGAAAATAATGAAAAACTTTCTTAATTATTTCTAATTCTAGTCCCTTATCCATGTGAAAACTAGCTAAAGGTGACTTTCAAATAATACAAATAACCTTCCCCAATGTTTAATATATTTTTCAGCTAACTACACAATAATTTCTTTTTGTAGGTTTATTCCAATGTTTTCTTCCTGTGAGTTTCTTCCAATATGTTCATTTTGTAGGGTTTTTTTCCAAGATATTTTTATTGTAGGTTTATTCCAATGTGTTCTACTTGTAGGTTTCTTCCAAGGTATTCTTATTGTAGGTATATTTCAATGTTTTCTTCTTGTGAGTTTCTTCCAATGTTTTCTTTTTGTAGGTTTCTTGTAATGTGTTCTT